CGCTTTGAACACTGTACACTGATGAGAGCTAGGGGGAGACGCAGGAGAGTCAACACCCATAATGCCTAGGAGGCTGATCCTAAAACAAGAGCTAAGGCGGTGGCATGCCGTAAGAACTGCTTAGAAACGATAATGCACTAAGTCTTCCCCTAGGAAAGGGTGGCACTCAAGGGACGTGGTACTGGGCATTAGGTGTCAAGACTGGGAATCTTGTGGCAGGACACTAGGAATGTATAGACAGAGTACTATTAATCCTATGGTGTGGTCCTGGAATTGATATAGATTGGGTACTAGGATTTATATGGACAGAGTATTGGGAATGGTTGGAAACAGCTTTATTATTTGCACAACGATCTCCCAAGGAAGTGATGCAAGCCACTGAGTAAGTCCACGGCACAACCGAATTCACTGGGAAGACTCTCCTCCCTGCGGCCACCAATGCATCTATCTTTGTGTGCTCTAAAGACAGCCAGGCTCTTCCTACACTCTAGCTTGCAACCAATCTTCAATCACCACGGGTTCAATGAGCCCATGAGAGCCCAGAGACTTGGATGTTCTTGGCAGATGCCATAGATATGAACAGGCCAATTTGGCCATCAGAGTCCTGAGGTGGGCTGTCACCCCCAAGAACCCACAGAAGCCAGAAGTATCTTCACAGACATTGTGCCTTCCCTGGGCTACAAGCATACTGGATTCACAGAACAGCTATCCAAAGGGAAAATCCCCTGATGAGTGGTAGGGCAAGTGTGGAGAAAGATAAGACCTGGATTTATTGTGAACATCTACAGGAGTATTTAATCTTATTCCCACTTTAGGATAAACTCTGAGCTGCCCCGATAACCTCAAATGCAAGAGGGCTCGCTAGACCTTTTGAAGCTAACACTTGCGCATATCATCAAAGCCACTAGTATCATCAAGGCGTCCAATATCACAGCCAAACCCTGAAAGAAACAAGGTCTGACATACACTGATTTGAACATAATACCCGTTTCTTATCGTCTGAACCAAGCCGGCTCCCTGAATCAAAGCTGTTTGCCAAGCCTGTCCCACCCCTTGGGAATGCTATTCTTCAGAGAGCAACCTAACTCAGCAAACACGCCACTGACACTGCAGACACCTAGTTAAAACACTCCCGCTAGCCCCAACCCAGCTCCTTTTCATCTGGGTTCCTCATGTAACATTGCCTTTTTGTAGGCAAGTTCAGAGGTCATGCTGCCTGGGGACATCATAACAGTGAGACACTTCCCGTGAGCCTGTCCTAGAAGGAAAGAGAATGCTGCTGTGCAGAGCTGTGACACACAGCACAGGTTCTCAGCGAGGTGTGGCTCACAATGGAATGGATGGGTGGACAGGCATTTAAACCGTACTTCCTTTGGGTTAATAAAAAGTCTTTAAGAGTGGCTGTGGAGACAGCATGTCAGTGATGCTGCTTAACCAACCGTGAGGACCTGAGTTGGGGTCCCCTCATGCAAAGGCTGGGTGCCATGGCAAACAGGTGTACCACAGCACTGGGTATGGGCAAGCGAGTAAATCCTTGAAGTCATCTGCTTACCGGCCTAGCTGGGTCAGTCGGTGAGCTTCAGATTTCATGAGAGATACTGTCTCCAGGAAAAAAAATGGAGAGCACCAGAAGACACCTGAAGTTGACCTAAGACCTATGGGTGCACGTAGGAGCTCGCAAGCATGCGCGTGTGCGCATACACACAATACACTACACATACACATACACTATACACACACATATACCACACACACACATACACTACACATACACTTTTACACACACACACACTACACACACACAATACACTATACACACACACATACACCACACACATACACTACACATACACTCTTACACACACACATACACTACACACACATACACTACACACTCACACACACACATACACCACACACACATACACTACACACTCACACACACATATACTACACTACACATACACTCTCTCTCACACACACACATACACTACACACACATACACCACACACACACACATACACTACACTATACATACACACACACATACACACACTCTCCCTCTCTCTCTCTCTCTCTCTCACACACACACACACACACAATTCCCTAAAAGCCACAATCTGGAAACTACATTCAGGGGCAATCTAAGTGAACTGGCATCTCCAGACACGGGCACTCCGGTGCTCTCTCCCCATGCTTCACAGGTGCCAGCACCTGATCCACACTGCCACTCCTACCTGGGCTCAGCAGCGACATAGAAAGCGGCTCCCCCGCATCGCAGGTATCTGCCATTGCTGTCGCCATCAGTGAGGCCCACTCAAGTTATCACAACGTCTGTGTCAGTTTCCTGCAGCAACATCCAGTTAAAGCCCACGCCTAAAACCGTGAGAGCCTATCCATTGTTCCTATTAGTTTCCCAAGCATGATTTCTCCAACTGTACCAAGAGTTTGGTGCCATTCTTAGATCTACCCCATGGAGCTAACTGGAGTGCTCCGAACAGGACAGGGAGTGGGTACCACAAGCAAGATCCCCAAATGAACTGAGAGCATGGAGGAGCCATTGTGCCCAGGATGGCGCAGGGTGGGGGGTGTGGATTCACACTGAGGTGCTCTCCAGACCAAATCTAGGGGACATCTGGAAACACAGTCTTTTAGGGTTCCTCCAGGTCCCTGCTGCCTGGTGCCTGTCCACTACAAGCATCTGTGAGGATGGAGTGTGGCTTCTTCATGTCGATGTCAAACCACTCCACATTTCAACTCCATTGGCGCTTCCTAGAGTTTGTGGAATCCATTAAAAGGGACCAGGAAACAGAACCAAAACCGTGGGGAAAGGTGAACTTCAAGCCCAGGGATGGGGTGGGGTTTATTTGTGTTAGCTCGGAGCCACCCCAGGGGCACTGAGACCATGAGGTAAAATCACAGGCCACTAGACCCCCCATCAGCGTTCCTGAGTAGAGGAAAACACCAGCAACTGCTTTCCAGGGCCCGTGTCACTAGCAGGCTGGGACAGGCAGATCTACAGCTGCAGGCCACCAGGAACATGGAACTTGCTGAGGACACCTCTGAGGAGAACCAAAAACCATAAAGTGGGGGCAGGTTTCATGTTTGGAGACATTTTTGCTATGTCCCCAAAAAAGTAAGATGGGCAGTCAGTGTCGAACTATGTCCCCAAAGTTTTAACTTGGACTCTTAGCCCCCAGCACCTCAGAGGGTGACTGATCTGGAGAAAGGACCCTTTAAAGGTGACCAAGTTGGCGTCACTAGCATGAGCCCGGATCCAGGTGTGGGGTACTTAAAGGAAGGAAGGGAGGGATGACCACGGGACCCAGTGGGCGATGATGGCTACGAGCAGGGCCAGGGCAGAGTCGCAGGAGGAGCCGGCTGACCACACACATTCATCCTGGGCTCCAGCCCCCGATCTGGGAGGCAATAAGTGCCTGCGGTGAAAGCCACCTGCCTGTGGATCCTGTCACTCCACCCAGCATGCCACCTGTGTGCTTACCCCAATCCTAATTTTAAAAGGCTCTTACTGCCATGGCTCTAGTTATATTTTAGGACATTTCTCTTCCCTGTGAGCTGAGAGGGCCAGAGCTGACACAGTCTTGGTTTCAGTTAAATAGAAGTCATGATGACAGTACGGCAGGCACAACGGCTCTTTATGGATTTCAGGTTTCCATGTTTTAGATAAACTTTGTTCCTGGCATGTTCTGATGACATGGTTTGAACTGTCAGCCCTTTGAGCCTCCTAGGACAGATGGAGGGACACAGGACAGACGGGCAGAGTACTGTATGTAGCAAGACAGGAAACGGCTGTGTTCCAACCCCCTGCCCTCAGCCCACACTTTGTGCACAGGACAGGCCCATCTCACTTTAGGAACCACCCTCCATCCCTTTGCGGCAACTTAAATAAAGATTCAGCAGTGTCACTATACCCTACCACTACACCTCCTGGAACGGCCCCAGTCACACATGGCCTTGTGGCCTCACTGTGTGGAAAGGGCCCCAAAAACCCAACTGAATTCTGGAGCTGGTGGCCTCACAGTCACTAGAGGGCAGGGTACCAAATTCCAGGTGGTCACGACCCAAGTGGACATGAATCTGCCCTGAGGAGAAGGGGACGGAAGAGGCAGAAGAAGTGCCAGGCCTGAGACAGTCCCCGCTACATGCCGGGTCCCTTGCTCAGGGGCCCCTCAGCTCCTGGAAGCGGAACAGACTGGTCTCACGTGGGCTTTCAAGGGCCCGAGTAGATGTTTTAATGCGACGTGTGAAAACCCTGCAGGGGAAAGCAGCCTGCCAGGCGTCACAAGTGGCACACCTGTCAGGAAAGCTGTTTAGTTCAAAATAAAAGCACTGAGCCGGTTAAATGGGCCCAGCAAATCGCAAGCAGCCCTGCATCCTGTTAAAAAGAAAAACCAACAACGTAAGACCGGAGTTTTGTCCCATACTCCAGCTCCCCGCTAGCAGACTGCCAGCAAGCACGTACTGGTCTCCTGGGAGGTTGGGGGCGGGGGACACCGGAGAGCTGGCTGCTCTGGGGGACTGTGGAGCTGAGGGCTCATCTGCCCTAGCACGGTGATAGCAATTAAGGCCGAGAAAGGAAGTGGGTAAGCGGCGAGCAGAACACACAGGAGGATGGCTGCCTTCCCGGGCTTATTAAAAACACAACCGTGCATGTGTGCAGAGCCTCACCCTGAGCAGAACTGCAGCCACGGAATTCACGTGCTGCAACCCCGACCCTGGCACCTGTGAACCCAACCTCCAAAAAAAAAAAAAGAGGCCATCTGTCCCCTAGTCTAGTTGGAGGCGTCCTTAGAAAAGGAACTGGTGACAGAGACGGTGTAGGAAGCTGCCAAAGAGACCAAGCGGGCGGTGGCAATGTTACGTGTGCCAGCATAGCATTATCTCCAGAGAGAAGCCAGGGCAGCACTCTTCTCTACCCCACCCCTGCTGTAGCCGCCCCTCCCCAAACACAGCTGAGCTCCAGTCAGAGGCTGCTTACCTCATGTATGATGTAGGGGACAGAGACTTGGGCTTCGCCCACTGGTATGGGGCCTGTGGCACGGACAGATACTGTTCGCAGAAGGCCCCCTTCCGGAGGTGCTGGAAGGCAAACTCCTCAGGTGGGAAGTCAGAGGTGGGCGGAGTGGCGCCCAGGTCTTCCCCAGCTGGCTCTACCTTGAGGGCCACTGAGGGTGCATGCTCCAGGGCCGTCTTTCGAGACTTGATAGGGACACCATCGCTCAGGTCCAGCGTGCTGTCGGTGGTCAGGGCGTTGATGGCTGCCACGATGGCGGAGCTGGTATACTGGGTAGTATTACCGAGCCAGGTGTCTTCGGTCACGCTGACCCGAGGGGAGCCGTGCGGGGATGGTGTGGGTGAGTGGTGGGGCGAGCAGGAGGGCTGGCGGCCGTTGAGGCTGTACTTGCGCTTGTTGCAGGGGGATGTGGGCCGGGAGCCACGCGCACCAAGCCAGCTCTCCTCAGTGACACTGGCACGAGGAGAGCTGGACGGAGAGTGCCTTGGAGACCCCAGAAGGTGACAGGCACCCAGGCCTCGGGGAAAGACCTCCTCTGGGTCTGTGGTCTTGGGAGACACGCAGGGTGACTGCCATGGAGAGGTCTGGGGAGATGCATATGGGTATGAGTAGTTGGACTCATAGGAGGAGGCCTCGGAGTTACAGCTCCTTGAGGACAGGCTACTGGCTGGGCTCAGGCAGGAGGGGTCTCTGTAGGCTTCCAGGCTGGGCAGGTGCAGGGTGGCTGTGGACGGTGACCGCTTACAGCTTGGAAGCACATCTTCTACCTCCACGTCGTGGAAAAACTGGCTGCTGCCATGGTGGAGGCCCAGGTAGGAGGTGATCTCAATTCGAGGGCTCTCCAGAGTCGGGGCCCCATTGGGCCGGGTGTTTCCAGAGGACAGAAAGTACCCTGAGGGCCCACTGTCCACAGCCCCTCCATAACTCGAGGGGTGATTTGCTGAAGGGACAGCTGAGATGCCCGGGGTGGACGTCTGGAGGTCATGGCATGGTGCCGGCAGAGAGGCATGCGCCGTGGGAAGGGGCAGAGTCGAGGCGATGCTAGGGGATGCATAGCTGTAGTGTTCTGGAAGAAAACGAGCAAAGAGAAAAGATGAGGCCAGTGAGCTGGAAACATACTCACAAAGACGGGGACGGGAAGCCAGGACCTGGAGCCGTCGCCCGCCCAAGACTCCAGGCCCCAGGAGTGGCCTCTGGAAGTCCTGAAGTCAGGCTGCCCCTAGGCCCCCATAGCCTCCTGCTTGACTCTAGACCTCACTCTATTCCACCACAACAGCCTTCCCCAGGCAGATGCCCCCCCCCGGCCAAATGCCACACCGCTGTCCCTTATTGTCCTCTCTATTGAAACTCTGCATTCCCTAGCCGCTGTAATGGTTTTATATCCTAATCCAATAGCTGAGTTATCTTCTCCAGTCTATCCCCCCCTCCCCGACACACACACTCCCTCTCTCCGGTACACATCACAAGTGAACATGCATTTTTATCTATCCATCCGTCTGGTTCATGGCTGTCTGCAGAGCCTTGGACTGTGCCAGGCACACTGAGACACTTCTGTAATGCTAGCATTTCAGAGGCTGAGCAAGGCAGCAGGATTTTGAGTTCCAAGCCAGGTGTTCACTCTATTTCATGGGTGGACAGACTGGTGCATGAGTGGCGGATGATGGACAGCAGGATGGAGACTGGCTGGATAGATGATGGAAGGAGGGAGGAAGAAAGACGGGTGTATAGATCAAAGGAGGTATATGCTTTAGACATCGGGGCCCAGGATCTTAAATAGGTCTTTATGGACAAATCACTATCAAGCAAGCCCACATACTCAGCTGCAAAGAGCACGCCCAAAAGGATGGATGAGAACAGGAACTCTGAAGTGGCTCTTAGGCTACCTGAGGCTGGCTGGTCCCTAGAAGTCTATCTTCCCGGACTCCTAAATCAGAACAGTTGGCTCTAAGGCACAACCAGACCTCAGAACCACTACGTGATAGTTACATCTTGACAAACACTTTTAAAAAGCATCATTATAATTAGTACTAACAGGAAAGCCTCGCTTCTGGATTTCTTGTCAGAAGTGGCTCAGCATCCCAGAGTTATTCACATGTATCTGGGTATCTGGAGTCAAGCATTTCCAGTCTCTGAATAATGGAAATCAGCACAAGGAAATCCTAGCTCCACACCAGGCTCTGGTGCCCGCCTAGAGAGAGCGCTCAAGGGTAGGGCTGCTCTCTGCTGATCCCTGGCTCAGAAACAGCAAGGGAAAACTCCAGGAATGTTGGGGTCTTGGGGCACCAGCCAAACTCTAGGATATTTTTGAGGAGGAGCAGGCCAGGCCTCGGGTAGGTTAGAAAGTTCCCACTATTGCTCACTCCAGTCTTCTGCCATTGATGGGTAGCTCACAAACCCTCTGGCGACAGGCAGCCTCTTATGAGGTAGACAAAGGTCCCACTCCAGAGTCCAGGGAGAGGACAGGCTCTAGTCCTCAACCCCTGGGTCACAGAGTCCCTGTGGAAAGGCTAGAGCCAAGACAAAGGGGAACAAGGGACAGCTAGAGGAATCAGGATTTGTGCCAGGTGGACCCTCCAGCCAAGGCCATGGTTGAGAGTCCTTGTCACACAAAAGCACCATGGCCCAGTCTGAACTCCATACCCCGAGACATTGGAGCCTAACACTGAAAAGGATACTGCTCTAAATTACTCTAAAGTCACTTTTTAGAGAAGGTAACGCTTCTGAGGAGACAGGGCTGGTGGCTGGTGCCAGCTGGGTCTTCGAGTAGGCCTTTGCTGGGTTCCTAAGCTCAGGCTATTTCCATGAGCACTGGACAAGACTGCAGAGCTGTTCACTGCCATTCAGCCTCCCTTCGTCTCTGTCTGTGCACCCCAGCCTTGGACAGACGCAGGCCTCCCCCCGGTCCCCCAAGTACAGTCATGGGGAAGACTGATCAGGGATACAGAATGTCCTAAGTACATAATAAGAAAGAACGCTAGCCCCGGAGGACCCAGTCCGTAGAGGTACGAAACGAGTTCAAGTGGGAAAACCAGGCCTAAAGACCAAAGGCTGGTCTGGTTCCTCTATGAGGTCACCAACAGAAAAGTCTGGAGCAGGTTCCAGGGACCCTATGAGGGAGCAGTACTAATAGACGCCTATGTCCAGAAGTCATCTTATCCGCGGCTACTGCCAGACGCTGTGTAAAGATTCATCTTGGCAAAAGGAGGAGGCAAGCAAGAAGGAGGTAGGAGGGGGAGGAGGGGGACTCGCCATGCATCCCGTACTTTGCTGTCCCATGCAGATGATAGACATGGAGGAAGACGTTGCTATGGAGATCTCCCTCAGCCGGCTCAGCACTCTCCAATCTAGAACTTTCCATGGGAAAGCATGATCGGTGTTCCATGGCTCAGAAGGTGTGGCCAGGATCTGCCCTTCTTCAGCTAAGAATCCAGGTCTTAACTAGTCAAGCAGAGCTAGGAGTGCAAGGTAGGGACCCCAAAATGTCACCGTGTCATTGCTAATTAGAATACTAATAAACAGGAGGAGGAAGTTACAGACTAACAGGGTAGGAGTTTCAGTAACTGATTTCAGCAATACTTTAACCAGTGTTAGGGTCTTACAGTCACTTATAACTTGAAAGAATGCCTCTCTTTACTCAGCTTCACCTCTGAACTCGGATTTCTGGCTCCCTGATGTCCCACATCCTCTGAAACATGCTCCCTTCAGAAGTATCTCTAGTGGTCATCGATTTGCTCATATCCAGCCAGCTCCCTTCTGGTCATCTCTCAAGCTCAGATGGGTGAGTCCTTCCTGACCCCACCTGCTAATCACTCAAAGGGCCCCTGAGGATGAGGTTATCTGTACTCTGCTCTCCAGCCTTCTGAGCCTTGGTACCAGGAGTTCAAAAGGATCCAAGACCAAATTCTCCAGTAGCTGTGTGGGGCAGCTTGGCAAGGCAAACTTCTGCCTGAGGCACTACTTCTGAACAAATGTGCTTGAGGTACACATCGTAAGAACGGCGACAACCACACCTACGTGTGTGCTCTGGATTGCCCAGACAGCACCCAGGTTAGATGGCTTCACAGGCCCCAGCCCTGAGCAGGCAGCTACTCTGCTTGGGAAGTCTAGAGCTCTCTGCACTGTAAGAAGCCTGTCAGTAACGTAACACTTGAGAGGAATGGGCTTTCAAGACTGGAGAGATAGTTTGGTGGTCAGGAATACTTGCTCTTGCAGAAGACCTGGCTTCAATTCCCAGCACTCACATGGTGGCTCACAGCCACCTGTAACTCTAGTTCCAGGAGATCTGATGCCCAACTCTGATCTCTGCGGGCACCAAACACACATGTGGTGCATATCTATACATATAGGCAAAAACTTGCACATAAAATAAAATAAATCTTAAAAAAATAAAAAAGAGCTGGTTTTCATCGTAAGGGAGCCCAACTCCAGAAGATGAGGAGTCTGAGACTAAGGCTAGTGAGAAACACTTGCATCATAGCAGCTGTACACATGCTGGGAAAACCATGAAGACCCAGTCGGTCCTCCCCAAAGGAGGCATACCTGCCACTGGGCAGAACCTGGCTCCTGTGTTCTCTGTCTTCCAAGTGAAAGAATCCTATGTACTCCTGGCCCCACAGCTCACCACGTTCTTTTGGTGGGAAGGGAAAATTGGAAGAGTTCTCTAGAAACTCCTAGCAACAGGTAAAGTAAGTTGTGGGATCTCCTCACTCCTGCCTTGACACCCCTGCAGTGTTGAGTCCAGGGCTTCAGCTGCCTGCAGAGCTGGAAGATTCCAGAAGAAAAGACTGGGTGGCAGGCAAAGGGCAGACGCCATGGCAAACCTCTGCTTTTCTCCTTGGGACAACAGGTTTTCTAAGGCCCAGAGAAGGAGGAAGGAGGTCGTATTCACTCGAGGCCCAGATGCAGAGGAAGAGGAAGTTGGGGAGCACGGCACAGGGGCTCCGGGACGTTACAAGAGGAGCTTTTACTTAAACCAAACTGTTTAACAAAACAGGACTCAACAGGGCAAAGAAAAGCCCACCAAACATTAATTTAAAAAAAACAATAACAGAACAGGGTTAGGGAATAAAGCTCAGTAAGGAAGCACTAGACTGGAGAAGCCTTAGCTCAATGTGGGCCCCACACACACCGGGCACACATGTGAGCCCAGCACGCAGGAGGTGGAGGGAGGGGATCACGAATCAGAATTATCCGGCTACACAATGAGCCCCTTTCTCAAAAACATAAGACAAACAAACAAAAAACAATTAACCTACATGGGGACTTCCTTGGTCAAACTCCAGAATGAAAGCTTAAATGCCTGTCTGTGAGAGGTGTGTCTGCCTCTCTTCTCAGAATCTCTGGAGCCAGCGGGCCCCTTGAGTCCATAGGGGGGGCGGGTGAGTTCAGCTGAGCTTCTTCTTGCTACAAAGCCTAGACCTGTGGAGCCCCTCCACCTGCACTGACGTCCACCTGGTCAAAGGGGTTGCTCTACAGACTATAGGGAATGCCAAGCTTCCCGGTAACTTCCTTTCTAGTCCTGAGGTGTTGGGACCGATTATGTCACATCAGGTGCTGCTGTTGCCTGGCAGCCTGACTTTTGGCGAATGGGTCACTAAACTGGGAGGTGGGAGACCACCAGGGGGGCAAAAAGCATAATCGAAAGCAAAGGCCTCCGGTAGCACACTTTCTGTTATGTCATGTACTACAATGCATGAAGTCACGGCCATCCTCTGCAGAGGCCACAGACCATCAGGTCCTTGCTCATTTCTCTCAGTCACCCTGCTGCATGCAGAACTCCACACGGATGTGACATGTGACGGGGTACACACAACACCGGGCACCCGCTGTGAAATCGCTTCGTAGGTGCTCTCCGTCAGGTCACTTGTCATCTTGCCTGAACGGAGGGAAGGCAAAGCCGTGTGTGCCGCACCACATGTATGTGATGCTCCCCTATAAGCGTGGCTGTCACAGTCACCACCAGAACTCACTGTTCACAAGCGCAGAGCAGGATACATCATAGCCCACTTTCACCTTTCTTGTAAGGAACACCCCTTTAGCCTTTCCTCAGACTTGAAGCTAGAAATA